GACTACGCAGCTGCCATAGGAAGCGTAACACCTACTGGGTTTTTGTAGCATGATATGCTATCTTCGCATGTAAGCTTCCATTAAAATATCTACCATTTCTCAGAAATGAAATAACAAAACGTTTCATTTATTGCATAAATGCAATAAGTGAAATGTCCAGAACCGAAACAAGAACAGGTCACCCCAAGTGCATATTTAAATATACCTCTCCCTGAATGAAAAGTCTTCAATGGCCCTTTCACGGGCACCTGAAGAGCTTTCCAGAGCTTGACTTCTTTGCTCTTTCAGCTTCTCAACCATTTCTTCTTCTGAACTGTCTAACGTAAAGGCATCAACTTGACATTCTTTAGCTGTAGCATGATGTTTCATATGTTGTTGCCTTTACACATATTCTTTTTTTCTGGTTGGAATAAATTTCTCCATTTCAGACACAGCCCAAGTGTTACTTTCTCCTGGAAGTCATCTTAGTTACTGCCTTCCTCACCCTGCGTCCCACACTAAATTAAAGGTCCCTCCCCTAGGATTATAGCATTATGTCCATCCTTCTATCACATCTCTTAACACAGAGTCAATATTATCTACTGATGCACCACCAGACTGTTAACCACTTGGGGACTAGTACTGTATTATTCTTTTATTCATGGTTTAAAGGTTCTGAGTACAGAACCTGGTAGAGAGACTCAAGGACTAGTCAGGATTTTAATTGTATCTTTCAAAGACTCAACGTAAAATATAGGATTCTTTAACTCACTGAGATCTTTTTGTATTTTAAATTAGTAATGGTATTCTTTAGGTGTCATTACTACCTAAATAAGCTTTACACTTTCAAAGTTATAAAATTAAAAAAAAATTTTTTTTGAGACAGAGTCTCACTCTCTGTCACCCAGGCTGGAGTGCAGTGGCACAATTTCAGCTCACTGCAACCTCTGCCTCCTGGGTTCAAGAAATTCTCCTGCCTCAGCCTCCCGAGTAGCTGGAATTACAGGCACTTGCCACCACACCCAGCTAATTTTTGTATTTTTAGTAGAGACTTGGTTTCACCATATCGGCCAGGCTGGTCTCGAACTCCTGACCTCAAGGTTCTCCCCTCTTAGCCTCCCAAAGTGCTGGATTACAGGCATAAGCCATGGCACTTAGCAAGAATCTTTAATTTTACAAGAACACCTTGTAAAATAATCAGAAAATGTTTAATATAAAGTTTTCAATACCATTAAAAATAAATTTTGAACAGTATCTGTCATGATATTCATTTATACAGTCACACACATTTGTCTTTAACCCCTGGCAACGATTAATCCCCATTTCAAGAGAGTTATGTAAATGAAGTCATGCAGTCTGCAAACTTTTGGGATTGGCTTTTCCCCCCAACCCAACATACTTCTCTGGAGATTCATCTAGGTTGCTACACATATCAATAGTTCATTCCTACTTATTGCGAAATGTTATTCTGTGGTATTGATACACCATAGTGTGTCTAATTATTCACCAGTTGAAGGCCATTTGGCTTGTCAGTTGTGTTAATAGGTTTTTGTGTGAATATAAGTTTATATTTATCTGCGATAAATGCCTAGGAGTTCCATCGCTAGGTCCTGCGGTAGGTGCATATTTATTTTATAGACAGCCAGGCTGGGCTTAGTGGCTCATACCTGTAATCCTAGCACTTTGGAAGACCAAGTTAGGCAGATTTGCCTGAGCTCAGGAGTTCGAGACCAGCCTAGCCAACATGGTAAAACCTCATCCCTACTTTAAAAAAAAAAAATTAGCTATGTGTGGTGGCCCACACCTGTAGTCAGCTACTCAGGAGGCTGAGGCATGAGAATTGCTTGAACCCAGGAGGTGGAGGTTGCAGTGAGTCGAGATTGCACCACTGCACTCCAGCCTGGGTGACAGAGTGAGAGTCTGTCTCAAAAAATAAAATGAAATTTAAAAAGAAGAAAGAAAGAAAGAGAAAAAGAAAGAAAGAATGACAGACGAAGGAAGAAAGGAATGAAGGAAGGAAAAATGGGAGGAGAAAAATAATAGAAAGAAGAAAGAGAGAGAGAAAAACAAACAGAGAAAGAGAGAGGAAGGAAGGGAGGGAGGGAGGGAGGGAGGGAGCGAAGAAGGGCCAACCTATTTTCCAGAGGGCCTGAGCCATTTTACTTTCCTACCAGAGATGTAGAAGTGACTCAGTTTCTTCCCACCCTTGCTAACATAGAGTTACTGTTTTTTAGTTTAACCATTCTGAGAGTATGTGTTGATTTCATCTGTGTCTCCCTGGTGGCTAATGGTATTGAACATGTTTTCACACGCTTTTTTGGTGTAGGTACATTCTTTTCTGTGAAACATCACTTCATGTCTTTTGATCATTTTCTAATTTGTGTGTGTGTGTGTGTGTGTGTGTGTGTGTGTGTGTGTGTGTGTGATTGCTTTTTCAGAGTTCTTTTTGTATTCTACATACTAGTCCTTTCTTGGATATGTGGTTTACAGATATTTTCTTTTACTCTGTAGCTTGTTGTTTCACCCTCTTAACAGGGTCTTTTTCAGAAAAAAAAAAAAGTTTTAATTTTGATGAGGTCCAATTTATCAACTTTTTATAGATTATGGTGTCAAATCTAAGAACTCTTTGCCTAGACTAAGATATCCAAGAATTTCTCCTACGGTTTTTCCTGATATTTTTTAGTTTTAGTGTTCTGTTTTGCATTAGTGTTTGTGAGTCGAGATCGCACCACTGCACTCCAGCCTGGGCGACAAAGTGAAACTCCGGTTTTTGCCTATGAATGCTGAACTTTCCTTTTGCCTATGAATGTCCAATAGCTGTAAACACCATTTCTTGACAAAGTTATATTTCCTCAGTTGAACTGCTTTTCCACCTCTGTCAAAAATCCTTTGTGTCTATTTGTGTGGATCTATTTCTAGGTTATTTATTCTGTTTTATTGATCTACGTGTCTATCCTTCTACCAACACCACAGAGTTCTGTTTACTGGAGTTATGTAATGTCGTGGATATATAATATAAACATATAATAAATTCCTTCTACGTTATTTTTCTTTCAAAATTGTTTCATCTGTTCTATTTCATTTGCTTTCTTTATAAATCTTAGAATTATCCTGTCTATATATACCAAAAAATGTTGCAGGGATTTTGAAAGGAATTTCATTAAACTTGTGTATCAATTTGGAGAAAACTGCCTTTTATACAAGGTTATTCTTCATATATTTGAAGTATGCCTCTCCATTTACTCACATCTTCTTTCATTTCTTTTTGCAGTTGTCAGCATACAAGTCCTGGATGAACTTCATTAGATTAGCATCTATTTAATTTTTGAACAATTTAAAATGGTATTGTGTTTTTGATTTCAGCATCCACATATTCACTGTTAGTATATAAAAATGTAATTTACTTTTGCATGTTTGTTGCATATCCTGTCATCTTTCTGGACTTGATTCTTAGTACTAGAAGGTTTTTTTCCGTAGATATTTTTGGATTTAACAGGTAAATATCATATCATCTGCAAAGAGGAGAAGTTTTCAATTTCTTCCTTTCTGATCTGTATATCTCTTATTTCTTTTTATTGCCTTATTGCCCTGACTAGAAATTTCAACATTTTGTTAAATAAATCTTCACCTTATTCTCAATTTCAGAGGAAAACACTCAGTCTTTTGCAACTACATATAAAGTAAGCTTGTTAATATTGATATTATTATTTAAGACTGTGTCCCCCTCTATTGCCCAGGTTGGAGTACAATAGTGCCATCATGGCTCACTGTATTTTTATTATTATTATCATTTCTAGAGACAGTGTCTTGTTATGTTGCCCAGGCTGGTCTCAAATTCCTGGGCTCAAGTAACCTTCCTGCTTCAGGCTCCCAAAGTGCTAAGATTACAGGTGTGAGCCACTGCACCCAGCTCTAAATATTTTTGAATCCATTGTTTTGTAGCTCTTTTTTGTTGTTGATAAAATTATATTCACACAACTTATTACAGCCTTCTGGTGTAATCACTTTACCAATCTGAGTGAAGTATGGAACCCTAGGTCCCTTCCTGTTCCTTTATTCTTCCCAATTTTTAATATTTTTTAGCTAATTCCTCTATGTACATTTAGAATCACATCAGACATTGTTACATTTTTTTCTTCAACAATCAAAAATAATTCAGAAGGTTGGGTGCAGTGGCTCACACCTGTAATCCCAGCACTTTGGGAGGCCGAGGTGGGCAGAGCATTTGAGATCAGGAATTCAAGACCAGCCTAACCAACATGGGGAAATCCCATGTCTAATAAAATACAGAAATTAGCTGGGAAGGAGACACATGCCTGTAATCCCAGCTACTTGGGAGGCTGAGGCAGGAGAATCACTTGAATCCAGGAGGCAGAGGTTGCGGTGAGCCAAGATCATGCCACTGCACTCCAGCCTGGGCGACAGAGCGAGACTGTCTCAGAAAAAAAAAAAAAAAAATTCAGAAAATCAAGAGAAGAAAAGTTTACTGTATTTCTTACATGTTTGCTTACCATGTTTTGTTCTATTCTGATATTCCAAGGTTCCTTTTCTTATTGTTTCCCTTTTATTTAGAAAATTCCTTTCAGTCATTCTGTTAGAGTTAGTCAGCTGGTGACTAATTCTGTTAGTTTTCCCTCATCTGAGAATGTTTTGATTTTCCCGTTATGCCTCAAGAAGATGTTTGCTGGGCAGAGGATGATGCATTGACAATTCTTTCTTTTCAGCAGGAAAGGAAAAATGTTGTGCCACTTTCTTCTGGTGTTCATGGTTTCTGATGAGAAGTCTGCTGTTGTAGGAATCATTTTTCTCTTCTAGTTAAGCTGTCATTTTTCCCCGACTGCTTTCGAGATGTTTGTTCTGTTGCTGTCTGCAGTTTTCAAATGTTTATTAAGTGGCTTGGTATGGGTTTTGTTGGGTTTATTTACCCTGTTTGGGCTTCTCTCAACTTCTTCAGCTGAAGGTTTATGTCTTTGCTATGATTGTGATGTTTTTAAGCCATTATTTCTTCAAGTACTTTTTTATTTTTAAAGTTCAGCTTTTTACTGAACACCTTATAAAAGAGGTTTAGTTGAAAAGACCAAAGCCCATGTCATCATCAGACTCCTCGGTTTCTTCTTTCTTTGATTCCACTTTCTTCTCCTCAGCTGGAGCAGCAGCAGTGGAGGGGGCAGGACCTCCTGCTGGAGCAGGTCCACCAGCACCTACATTGCAGATGAGGCTCCCAGTGTTGACGCTGGCCGGGGCCTTTGCAAACAGGCATTTTCCTCTTGAATCAAAAAGGTTCAACATTTACACTGGCTGCTTCAATGAGGGCATTGATCTATCCTCTGTGATGGTCACCTCACTGTTGTGCAGAATGAGGGCTGAGTAGACGCAGACGAGCTCAGAGACGGAGGCCATGGCACAGGCAAGCATGGGGCTGGTGTTGCTGGACGTGGTGCTAGTCACCAGCAGAAGCGAGGGCCTCGCCCCAATGCGGCCTTCGCTTCCTCGGAAGGACTGAGCACCTTGGTGGCAGCTGAGGAAAGATTCTTTAAGTGCTTTATGAGTCCCCATCATCTTTCTCCTAGCCTGTCATAACCCCAATGACACCAATGTTAGATCTTTTGTTACAAACCCATAAAAGATCTCCATCCCAGAGGCCATGTTTCTTTTTGTCAGTCTGTTTACTCTCTGCTGCTCAGATCAGGTAATTTCTGTTGTTCTAACTTCTATTTCGCTGCCTCAGTGGTTTCTTCTGTCACATCAGTTTTGTCGTCAAGCCCATCCACTGAGTTTTGCTTTTTGTTATTGTCCTTTTCAGTCCTAAAGGACAATATATCTTTTTTATATCTTCTATTTCTTTGCTGAGAATCTCTATTTTCTGAGGTCTTCCAATTTTTAATATGCTTAAAGCATATTGTTATTATCACTAAATAATTTTTATCATAGACAGGGGTGTCCAGTCTTTCTGGATTCCCTGGCCTCCCTGGCCACGTTGGATGAAGAATTACCTTGGGCCATACACAAAATATACTAACACTAATGATAGCTGACGACATTTTGTAAAATCACAAAACAAACTCATAACGTCTTAAGAAAGTTTACGAATTTCTTTTGGAACATATTCAAAGATGTCCTGGGCCACAAGCTGGACAAGTTTGACATGGATACTTCAAAGTCTTTGTAAGCTAATCTATTAACTCTGTCATCTCAATCTTGACAACTGTTGATATATATATTTTTCCATTTAGTTTGAGATCTTCCTGATTCTTGGTATGATGAGTATTTTGTTGTTGTTAAGACAGGGTTTCACTCTGTCACCCAGGCTGGAGTGCAGTGTTGCAATCTTGGCTCACTGCAACCTCTACCTCCCAGGCTCAAGTGATTCTCATGTCTCAGCCTGCCAAGTAGCTAAGACTACTAATGTGTGCCACCATGCTCAACTAATTTTTGTATTTGCAGTAGAGACAGGGTTTCACCATGTTGGCCAGGCTGGTCTCAAACTCTAGGCCTCAAGCAATCCGCCCACCTTGGCCTCCCCAAGTGCTGAGACTATAGGCGTGAGCCACTGCACCTGGCCTGATGAGTATTTTTTTAAACTGAAACCTGGACATCTTTGTATTTTGTTATGCAATTCTGGATTTAATTTAAACCTCTGTTGTAGTTGGCTTTTGATGACACCACTCCTCTGGAAGAGGGAAATGCTGTTTCATGGCCACCAGGTGAAGGTAGAAATTTGACACTGTAGTGGGGGTGGCCTGGTCACCACTGTTTGATGGCAGAAGGCTTGATGCTCCCCTAGGCTTCTTCTGACACCACCCCACTGTGGAGAAGTGGGGTGTTATTACTACCAGGTTGGTGTAGGATATCCAGTCACCTCACCTGGTCTTCACTGAAATGTGGACGGGGGAAAGAAGATCTTGTTCCTGACAAGAAGCAGAACAGTGGTGACTAGGGATGGGGTGGGGTGAGGGAAAATGAAGAACAATGGGTTTCAAAAAAGGCCCAAGGAAACTTTTGGGGGGGGGGAATGAAAATTTCTACTATTTTGATTATGGCTATGGTTTTAGGGATATATTCATGTGCTAAAATGCATCAAGATTTTATACTATACAGCTATCCAGGCTACTGTATAGTAATTATCCCTTAATAGATATAAAACTCAAAGCATCTGAAAACAAAGAAAGAAGTCCCAGCTACTTGGGAGGCTGAGGCAGGAGAATCGCTGGAACCTGGGAGGCGGAGGTTGCAGTGAGCCAAGATTGTGCCACTGCACTCCAGGCTGGGTGACTGAGTGAAACTCTGTCTCAAAACATATACATACATACATACATACATACATACATACATACATACATAAAAAACAACTTGCAAAGTTCCGAATAATGTATACACCACCTCAATTGAGATACAAAACATTTCCTTTGTGGTAATAACTTAAACACCCTCCTGATCTGTTCGCACCAAGGTTACCCCATGCCCTGACAGATAAAACTAAAATTCTGATTTCTATCATTGTGTTTTAGTTTTGCCTTTACTAAATGAAATCTCACAGTATGCACCTGCTCGTGTCTGGCTTCTTGTGCTCCACATATCGTTATAGTCGCCCATATCGTTACCTGTATGAGTGTTTCTTCTAGTTGCTGAGTCACTTCTGCTGGATGAATATACTACAATTTGTATATAGATCTTCAATTGTTTCCAGCTGATGGCTATTGTAAAAAAAATGCTATGAACATTCTTACACAGACCTTATTATAGACTTATATTTTCATTTATTTTGGTAAATCCCTTCCATCTGCCTTTAGTAGACATAGAATACAGTATTTCTAAGACTTAAAAGTTAGAAGGTTAGAATAAAAAAAACAAAACAGTGATAAAACTGGATCAATAATTCTCAATCTGATTTTTAAGTGGCCTTAATTATAACCTTCCCTTGTCTCTCACTTCAATTAGAAAATGAAGGTTAGCAAATATTAACTGCATCAATATACTGCCTCCATACATACACATTTATCTGTCTTTATAGGTCCTTTCTCTTGTTTTCTGTCAGACGTTGAGGAAAAGGTTTCTGTTTTCCTGTCCGAGGCAAATCCCTCTTCACCTTATTTTCTACCTCTCCTCAGGAACTTTACTGTGCTTTGCCCTCAAGTCTTTTTCCTATTTAAAAAATGTCTATATCAACTCCCTAGACAAGAACACGGCACACACAATCTGGTGGGCAAGAAATATAGAAATAATCCTATAAACAATTACATAAAGTGAAAAGTTCTGTAAAGGAAAACTAGAGGGAACAATGAAAGATTAGAACAACAGATGTGATTTAGTTTGGAAACTCAAGAGACCTCTCTGAACACTTGGATAGAAAACACTGAACTACAGATGAAAGAGAGTTACAGGTATGGGAAGTGCTACATGAGATAGAACAGAATTAGAATCAAAGTACAGTTGATGCTTGAACAACATGGGGTTGAACTACATGGGTTCCCTTAGATGTGGATTTTCTTCCACCTCTGCCAACAAAGACAGCAAGAGCAAACCCTCCTCTTCATTAAAAAAAAAAGAAAGAAAGAAATGTGATAATGTGATTATGGGACCCGTGAGTCATATGACAGGCAGCTATAACCAGGCAGCTGTAACCTTGTTTCTCTGATTAGATTAGCCTATTCTTTACTCATATTGTTTTGTAAAATGTAGTAAAGGATTAAAGGGTGTCAAAACACAAGCTCTGAATGAAGAGACCTCCCCAAACAGGCTTTGTGTGAGCAACAAGGCTGTTTATTCACACAGGTGCAGTCGGGCTGAGTCTGAGAAGAGTCAATGGAGGGCGGTGGGATTGGAGTTGCTTTTATAGGTTTGGGGTAAGCAGTAGAAAGTCTGAGAAGTTACAGTTTAGGGTGGTTTTTTGAAAGCTGGGAGGAGGCTGTAGGTTTGCAAGCTGGGAGGGGTTCTTAGGGTCTGGAGTCAAGGTTGACCAAGGTCAGTTACAAAGTCCAATGGCCTTGTCAGTTGAGGCCAGAATAAGAAACAACAGAAGAAGGTCTCAGGTTAGTTAGGTGCTGCAAGGGTTGGCCACTCTTCCGTTTTTCATGATTTTCCAGCTACTTCATGTTTTCTAATTCCAGAAGGCTCTCCAGAGGTATACATGTGGGTCATGGGGGTCGCCATAGTGTCAATGGCACTGTCAGTCAGCCTAAAAGACTTTACAAAGGGCACCAGAGAAGACCCCTTGCCTCTTCACTGTTGATCTTCATTATAGATTAACTTCCCATTTACTTCTTTTACACAAAGACCGTATGACTATCACACTATCTGGAACATTAAATATACTCTTTCAAATTGGAAAAGGAAAATAAGCTGTAAGTAATCAAATTGCTGTAACTCATAAACCAGCTTTGTATGGAAAATATTAAAATCCTGTTAAATTTCTTCATTTTCTGCCTGCATAAGCAAGACCTTAACTTTTCAGCTTGGGAGCACTGACCCCATTCCTTTGGAGTCTCTGTTACCTAGATGACCATTCTCAGATTTGCTCATGAATAAACATTTTAACTCGGATTCCGATTCTTTCATTTATTTCAGGTTGACAGGATGTAGGAAAAGAATCTGGCAGATATCAGATAAAGAGCAAAAGGAAGACAGAAGGTCGTTTGGGTCTCTATGGTGAAGGCATCTACAGTGATCTGAATTATGAAACTGCCCCATAGTCTTGGAAGTTAGGGCTCCAATAGGAGGGGTCATTTGGATTTTCCCAGCCACTACTGAGTTGAAAACTGGTGGCATCAACTGGCACCCTGTGGATAAGCACACGACTATAAACCCAGATATTGGAAGTGAACCCTTCTCTCACTGATATGCTTGAATGGGCATATTAGAAGGCATACTGCAACCAGGTGTGGTGGCTCACGCCTGTAATCCCAGCACTTTGGGAGGCCGAGGTGGGTGGATCAGGAGGTCAGGAGTTCAAGACCAGCCTGTCCAAGATGGTGAAGCCCCCATCTCTACTAAAAATACAAAAAAGAATTAGCTGGGCATGGTGGCATGCACCTGTAATCCCAGCTACTTGGGAAGCTAAGGCAGAGAATCACTTGAACCCAGGAGGCAGAGGTTGCAGTGAGCCAAGATTGCACCACTGCACTCCAGCCTGGGCAACAGAGTGAGACTTTGTCTCAAAAAAAAAAAAAACGAAATGGTTCTTAAGTGATGTCCTTGCTGGTGCTGTGAATGAACACCTGATAATAATACCAGTCCACAGTCTGGATGCTTACAGTAGAAACAAAGAATTAGAATTTCTCTATGGATTGACATTGCCAACATAATACACATGGATTTAAACAGTTCAGGCAAAAGCATTTAGCAACACATGCTTTCATGTCACTAATGGAACTACACCAGGACAAAGTCCCAAATGGAGCAAG